TTTTCTTTAATTAGAATGCCAAGAGAGAGAAATTTTGTAAGTTATTTGTTTTTATGTTTATTTTAAACAAATAGGTACGGTAACCTTATCCAGAGGACTTTGTTAGCCTAGTGTAGTTAAAATTACATCTTATGTCCGTGTCAAGAGGTTATTCGGTGAAGAAGATGAATTTTTAACAAGATTAACAAAGCGAAATTCTTCAAACATCATTTTTTGAGCAACTTCACCGTATGGCTCAGCGAAGATCAGAAACTAAAATTAATAATCAAACCAGTGACAAACATGGACAAAACGGGAAATAATAGGAAATATGGGTTGCTATAACAAACCAAACAGCCTCTTCAATCTCTTGGAGATCATCTGCAGAACCTTAGGCTTGCCGGTTATTCTTTTAAACCCCTTAAGTCGTCTTAATTCCTCTAAAAAAAATGACGTTAAATTAAAAAATTGCATCGCAGTTTTAATCACCATAATTTAGGCTTAGCATTGTTTTCATCAGGTCAGGTCAGGCACCGCACCAATCATAATAATAATAATAACATTTATTTTCCCGAAGACAACTACATAATTGTTTAGGAATAGTCAAAATACATAATAGATACAATATAAAAAAATATTTACTGAAAAAAATTCGTCTAGATTATAAATAGTTGGCCGAAAGCGTTTTATTGATTGAAACTTCAGCTTTTCAGAACGCGGCCATTTTAGTAGGAACCCACCGATCGCCTTAAATAGGCGAGAAAATACGCGCGAGCGGACCAACACCTCGCAATACCATCCCACGCACGGATCCCATGAATATTCAACGTTTTTACTTCCGTGACGTATACTGGACGGCGATTTTTCCATCGGCGGAGCTTTTTACAGAGTGAGGCCGGACCAGAAATATGATCGGGCCGTTATTAAAATGACCGTAAAAGTCAGTTTCTCGTTTAGATGTTTTTCTCTTTTGTTGTGTAGTCCGGGGTCCGAGGATTCGTGTTACCTGGGTTTTCGAGATGGGCCAGCGATAGGTGTACGTACAGGTAACAAATTTTTATACACCTCGTCGGACAAGGCGTTCGAAAAGTTTTTGGGGCGCGATCGCAAGAAATAATTTTCCCGACAAGGAATAAATTCAACGATATGACTTTTTTTTATTAGATAAAGGACTTAAGGCTAAAAGGAAAGTTGATTTCAGGCAAAAATTGCTGTCTGGCTGTTGTTATTAATGTCTATTATCCCGAATTTATAACACCGCTGATCATAAATTAGTTCATTGCATTTTGGATTTTCGGAAAAAGCTTTTGGAACACAAAATCGTTGTTTTAGAAGTGGCTCGGATTCATGGGAAACGACTGACATGGTAAAGTGACGCTTCCCGCTAGATCGGTGAGTAATTAGGTATTTTACAGACGGGAGTAGAAAAACATATTTTTGTTTGTCAGTCAGGGCACTCTTTGAAATTAATTAAACAATTCCTATTTTTGCCGATTTGGCAAAAACGAGGCGAATGCAATATAAAGTGTGCCAAAACAAAAAAGTTACAGCCAATTAAAACGTTAACAAGATGAATTGAACGCAATTCGATGAGAAAAGTAGAATGCTTAATAATTTTCTGTTTCATGCCTCAGTTAAAGAATCTCCTAGACGCAAATCAAAGGCTCCTTGCTCAGAAGCAAAAAGATACAGCTTTGCAAAGATTTAAAAATACTACGGATAACGATGATTGCCTTCTATTTAAAAGCCTGTGCAATTTAAACAACTCCAAACAAACTTGAGCTGCTCTAATAAACTTTAATATTAACGCAAAGACACTACACTTCCAAGTAGTTTGAATGACCCCAAAACCATTAATAAGTTTTTTGTGTAGTTTCTTCAAAACACATCCATTATACATATAATATTTTCATATATAATATTATTTGACGTTCTTAAATATAAATAGGAAATTAAATAAAATACCACTGGGCTTGACGAAATATGTCCACTTATGACGGACTATTGTAGCCCTATCATTGATGTCACTGGTATTATTAATTTCACCAGATAGCTGGAAAATGTCACTTTTAAAACAATTAGCTAAAAATAATACCCCGTCCAATTTTAATGACATCATTAAAAAGTATATTATTTCCTACGTTTTCTAAAATTTCTTAAATTAATAAATAAATAAGTATAAAATCAAGCCATGTCAACTGACAAAAAACTAATGAATGCCCTAATACTTTCGGATTTTTCGGCATTCGATACGGTTAATCAAATATTATTAATCTCCAAGCTAAATTTCTATGGTTCTTCATCTAATTCAGTGGCTCTCAACCTTTTTGGGATCACGGAACACTTTTAAGTGGTCTCGATTTTAGCGGAACACCATTATCATAAAATTTGTAAATCTAATGTAAATCACACAAAATAATTGGAAGATTAATATTTAATTGAAATAAAGATATATATTACATGGTAACTTATTTTAATGAGAAATTTGCGCTTGACGACCTTTACAAATTTCCTCAAGGTTGGGTCTTATGTAAGAGAGCGCTACTCTCATTTCTTCTTCTAAATTGGTAAGTCTTTATCTTTTTTTGCTTTTAATATTTGTTAGAGTTGAAAATCCAAGTTCGCACAGATAGGACGTCGAAAAGAGCAACAAGATATTCAACGCTCGTTTTGCAATAAATGGATGTTCATTCTCGATGGAAATCCAAAACCTTTCCACTCCTTCTTCTTTGAATTTTAGTTGTAACGTTCGATCCGTTAATATATTAATAAACTCATCTGCTTCCTGAATAGAAAAATCTTGGTTCATTATATCAAATTCACCAAATGGATTTCGCGCCCAATCAAAGTCTTCAATATTAAGAGATGGAAAGTAATGAGTTATTTTGTCTTGCAATATTGACAAATGCTCTGCCACATTTGAAATCATTTCGTTAATGTTAACAATATTTTCCGTTGCTAATAACGGAAACATATCAAATTTGCGATTTTGAGCAATACGATTTTTCCAAAGCAAAAGCTTTTTCTGGAAAGCTAGCAATTTGTCTGTGAATGTCAGAATATTTTCATTTTTTCCTTGAAGAGATGTATTGACTGAATTTAAGTAGCTGAAGATATCGGCTAAATATGCTAGCTTAGTACACCATGCATCATTTTCCAAATATTTTACGTATACATCATTACCCTCTTGTCTAAAAAAAACTAGCAATTCCTGTTTCAACTCATGAACTCGGGTTAGCACTTTTCCTCTTGAGAGCCACCTCACTTCAGAGTGCAAAAGCAAACATTCATATTTGGATTCCATGGTGTTACAAAGTTGTTTGAACATACGGGTTTTTAATGGTCTCGATTTAATATAATTCACCATATGTACGACTTGTTCCAAAACAGACTTTAAGTTTGCTGGTAGACTCTTCGAAATCAAAGATTCCCTGTGCAGAAAGCAGTGAGTAGAGACTATATTTGAATTTATTGCTTTAACTCGACTACAAAATCCCTTAATACTGCCACGCATGGCTGGAGCTCCATCAGTACAGATTCCTGCGCAATTTTCCCAGGATAATTTCCATTCTTCCAAATAAGATGATACTGAATTAAATATGTCTTCTCCAGTTGCGTGACCAATAAGTTCCTTGCAGAATAAAAACTGATTTATTATTTCAGTGTCGTCAACAAAGCGAATAAATCCGATTAATTGGGCTTTGCCACTTATGTCAGTGGATTCGTCAATTTGCAGCGCAAAATTTTTTGTACTTAATTTCGCCGTCACTGCGTTCTCTATAAAACCTGACATATCTATAATTCTTCTTTTTATCGTATCGTCCGAAACGGGAATTTTTAGGACGTCTCGCTGCGCTTCATTGCCAAACATAATCTTAACAATTTCTAAACATGCGGGCAAAATTAGCGATTCTGCGATATCATGCGGCTTTTGCTTCAATGCAATTAGTTCTGCCACTTTATAAGAAGCGATTTGCGCTTTATCCGAAATTGTAACGCTCTTTCGAAAGCATGTTGCTTGCACTTCTTGATTTTTCAGCAATCTTTCGAAATAATCTTTACGTTTCGAAGTTAGACAAGAATGTTTTGTTGAAAGGTGTCGCTGTAACTTAGCTGGGACCATTGCACTGTTAGCCAATTTTTCACCACATACAATACATCTCGGAATAGGAACATCTTGACTACCGCTCCATGTAAAACCAAACTTCAGATATTCTTCCGAATAATGCCGAACTGATTCGGATATCTTTTTACGTTTATTTTCGGCATTTTTGTTGCCTTGCATATCTCCTTCAATTGAAAAAGACCTGCTTGTACTCGCCCCAACATTAACCTCACTTTCAGTCTTTCTTTTCAAAAATTTGTCCATATTTCAGATTTAAAAGTCTTGTATAAATGCTAAAATAAGCAACTAAAAAAGATATGAATACTGTTAAAACTACACAACTTGCATTTCATCTTACCAATTTCCAACAATATAAAATATATATATACAATAAAAAACACACTCACGAAAACTCGATTATATATTAAATTATGGCTGAACCGCAGATCGAAATTGCGCTTTTGTTATTTACGTACGAAGAAAGAGAAACAGCACGAAATCAACACTACGTAGCGCTCCCTGCGTTATCGAGTACACTAGAAATTTAGTGGTATTCCCCGGAGTAACTCCAAACGACGTAACTGCGTCGTTCGATAATTACACTGTTAATATTATTGACTGTTCCGCGAAAATTTAGAATAATATTGAATATTTTTGCTAAATTTCAAATAATTAACAAAACTATGTAGTATTTATTTTATAGTAATAAAAAAATTTACTGTTTCTTATTATATTATATTCAAAATTTTCGCGGAACACCTGGGACAGCTTCGCGGAACACCAGTGTTCCGCGGAACGGCGGTTGAGAACCACTGATCTAATTCATGTAAACTGATTGAATTTTATCTTTCAAATCGATATTTAAAGCTACCCTGAGGGCAGATGTTCCAAGTGATCTACAATTTTGGGACGCGCAAAAAAGAACAGAAAAATAATCTGAATCGCGCCATCTATCGTCCTCAAGCGCGGTTCCTTAAATCACGGATTATGTTAACGCGGGGTCATAGCAGAAAAGAAGAAGAGAGCTGTCAAGTCTGTGGTGAAAATTCGGTCGATTGACATTTTAGAAGTAGAGTTTTTTTTTTGGAGTCGGAACTTACCAGTAGGAACAGCCGAGATGAAATAAAAGGAGGAATAAATAAGTCAAATCACGTGCTCTCTGAAGTCAATAATTTGAAGGATACATATGGAGAACAAGTATGATATTAATGTTGGAAACCGTGTTAAAAAAATTTAAATAAATCCGAATAAATATGACTGTTTTCAGATGCCTATTATTAACAACGATTAAGCGTTTGAGATATGGTTTAAGGAACTCCTCCGAACTTGATGCAACCAAATCTGCAACTTTGGCAGCAACGATTGGCAAGCATTGCAAATTAAATTATGAGTAATTCATTGGGTATAGATATGTTTACGCAACGCCTCTTACTATGCCATCTACAAGGTAGACCAATAAAGTAATAAAACGAAATAATATGGCTAATTAGTGTATTTATCAGGCATAAAGTGCTAAACAGTACAAAGTGACACTGTAACCTTACGCCTATAAGTAATATGCAAGATCGTAGAATGGTAGCAGAAAATTTTGCGAAAATTAGGTTAATAAAGGTCTCTAATGGAAGTTCATATGGAAATTGTTAATTTTATGGCACCAGATTAAACATTTCGCTTTCACTATAATGAACATAGTTGTATGTTCTCTAGGAGCAATCCGTTGAATAATACATTTATCAATTCGCGTCCAGGTGAGGAACGTTATGGTGAATATTTTGTTTCTATGCCTTGCGGAGCGTTTTTCCACTAAAATGTTATTCCTCTCTTTTGTATTTTAACCAATACATCAGTGCAACAAATTAGACTTCGCGTTTTATTACATCTCTGATGCTTCAGCACGGAAAATGTGTATCCTACCTTCATGCCTGTCACGTGGAAATGCGATTTAGAGATTTGCTCCACCCTGTATATTGAAACGCCTGCCGCGTATACACAAATCCATTAGTTCCGCCGAGAGAATGTGCGCGCCGGTCGTACCACGTACGACAGAAAGTGATCGGTTGTCAATGGATGAAAACAATCTTCAGAGGCTTTCGATAAAAATAAAAAACAAAAACATACCGTTTCCTAAGTTATAAGTCTTTGCATCTTACTCTTTGTGAAACTATAAGATGTCGCGCTAAGAAACATCGCCATAATCGATTGTTCACTTACGCGGATTATTTTTAGAACGTAAAAATAACCCGTTATCGTAAACCAAACAAGATTCGGCTGCTGGAGTAAAAAGATACGTGTGCCTGTCGAGTTTTAATAGCGTATATCACGATACAAAACATTCCCGCGCGTATATGTTTACGTTTATGCCGCCGGCGATGATTTCTAATCATAAAATTGCGTGTTTGGCCCAATACGCAGCTGCGCAGATTCGATTCGTTCCCACAGAACGTTGCAAATACTATACCGGCAGCATGGATTTATTCCACTACAGTTAATACGTGACGTAGCACTAAATAGCATTTTGATAGAGATCGATTGCCGGATGGTGCTGCCGTATCACGGCCGATCCCGTTTTTCTCAAAATTAAAACCCAACAGGTAAAGAATCCATCTTCAACATTCCGCCATCTGGCGTTACACCGCTAAATTAACAAATTGCAGTGGAAGTTCCTACGCACGTTAGATGGCGCGATTAAAGGAGACGGTATAATTTTCTGGTCGAAATGTTGCTCAAATTTTAATGACGAAACAAGCATAATCTTACTTGCGTCTGGTATTTTTATTTTACGAGGCTTTGCGTGTTGTTTAATGTGAGATAAAAAATGGATTCATCCAAGTCTTGAACATACATCCACGCATTGCAACCAAAATTTAACCACAGACTACTCAATCAGTTTGACAGATGCGTCTCAGCTTATACAAGGTGTCCCAAATAGGTGGTGCCGTTTTGGCGAATTCAATTAACAAAATCTCAAGATTTTCAAATGGAACACACTATATATTTATATTCAGGCATCAATTCTGGGCCAAAACATATTAGGTATTTTTTAATAGCAAAGACATGATACTACTTCTTTTAAAGCTATAATACTTCACACTTTTTATCTAGAAATAACAAAAACAACAAAAATAAACAGAAATGTAAAAGTTTGTCATGTCAAAATATATAATTTCGTGAAAATCTGAACTTTTAGTTATTATTTATTTTGATAAATGGATTTTCGTCAAGTAAAAGCCTCCTCAGTTCAACTAAAATTCTCACAACATTAATTAAAGTTTTATTGTCATTTTTCGGTATATATAGTAGCAGGTAATTTGTAAATATTACATTTGAAAAAGACACGATGTTGTCGAAAGCTTAAACATTTACTTATTTCGCCTGCTGTCGCGTAACTATTTGGTCTAATTAGTATGCGCCGATTGTATTTTCGGTCGGAAGGGGTTAAATGGGTCAAAGGAAGCAGAAATATTTATGAACGCCGTAAACAAAATCGAAATTGTTGACGTAGTAACAATAGAATTAACAGGAAGTTCATAAAAACGTCGAGTCAGCAACATACATAATTCTCGATCAAAACGCAATATAATGCTTAGTTCGGGCATAAATTTCAACAAAATAACCATAAGTTTGGGTAATAACGTTCGCGTGATACGTTAAAAACTAATGTTTTCAGTTTTGAAATCAGTGAACTACGAATATGTATTTTTTAGAGGTGCCCGTGTTTTAATAATTATCAAATCACTTGCAGCAGCCTCCAAAAAAATATACTTTTTAAACATTTATTCCTCCATAATAATAATTAAATTTAAGATAAGTTAATTTGTAGTAATAGGAATTAATTAATTATTTTTTCTGTGAATTTAAAATTTAAATTTTAAAAAAATTTAAAATTTAAAAAAATAATCATATAAATAAATAATCATATCTTATCACCAAATCACCAATAGGTTATTAAGCCATGGACTCTTATACTTTTTTGATAAATAGAACCAATTCAAAGATATTCGAGATCAACAATGGAATAATTTAAAGAAAAACAACTTTTTGTTCTGAAGTTCTTTATTGACTGAAAAATAATTATCGTGAAATGTCTTCCATTATCCTTATAGAAAATTTAATGCTCTACAAAAAAAGTCTTTTGTGGTTTATCGATTACTGGAAGCATTTTGAAGATATTTGTATTGGAATCCTAATGGTTAGTTTTTAATAAATATTTTTAATTTATTCATTAAATTGACGAGTTTTCACAACATTCATAAAAATTGGAGTTTATTTTGATAAAATGATTCATTTAAAATAGAACTCTTTTTTTTGCCACAAATTTAATGATTTAATTTTTCTTGTCTGGGGGTTTTATATGGTTTTATGTCACCTCATTTTTATTTTATATTTAATAAAATTTTATATATATTATAAATATAATATAGTCATTTTCCTTTCAAATCTTTGACCTGGAATATCTTTTTTCTTCTCCCGTCTGTAAAATACCTAATTGCACACCGATCTAGCGTGCGGGAAGCGTCACTTTACTAAGTCAGTTTCCTTTCTCACGAATCCGAGCCACTTCGGACATTTCCTAGATTTTACCGCACGGATTTGTGAGCAATCGGATGTTTTCGGAGATATTTCCCACGTTTTGAATTTTGACGTTTGTCAATTATGACGGTCATGTCAACCAAACCAAACCAAAACTAACCAAAACTAATGGTCGTAGAAAAAGTTCGGAAATCTTTTTAACTCACTCATTTATTAAAAACTCGTGAGTCGAATGCCGTTTACCGCACTTGTTGCGTAATATGCTATTAATTTATCAAAAAAGTATAAGTGACGATTTTTGCAAAGTGTTCAATTTCCTATTAAAATTGGCTTAATGGTGATGAGATATTATTTACATATGAGACCAAATTCAAATCCCTATCGAAGATTTTTTTATATGGTTGTTATATTGTCATATTTTACTGATTGATGATTGCAATATCGTATTAATTTAGTCCCTTTGATCTCAATATTGTTAAGAGTAAAAATAGGTATATGACACGCTTAATAAAAGTTGAAATTTTTATAAAATAAAAAAAAATCGAGATTGCAAATATTTTTCGAAATTTCGTGAAAATCTGAACTTTTAGTCCTTATTTATTTTGGTAAAAAAATGTCCTGGCATTTTAAACGGATAGATTCGTTATCTTTTATAAGAATGAAATATGTGTCTTGTAAATCGAAATGGAACCAATACCGCTAGTAACCTCAGTAAACTTTTTTGCGACCAGTCGAAGAATAAGCAAAAGAAAAAGAAGAAGAAGAAACCATGAACAACTAAAATCTACCGCAAAAAACATCCGCATTCACAATATTATTTAACCCCGTAACTTAGCAGAACCGACGTTTAAGCCAAGTTTAATAAGCGGTAAGCTAAACTGCGGTTATCTGCTGACTGAGTTCTATTAAAACCAGGCCTAAAAGGTAGACGTTCGAACGAAAGTACCTCCGCGTCAGATCTACAAACACCTGTACGATATGTCGAGCCGATTCGTTACGCCTGACCCAAATCGAAGCAATGTGCGACTGCTCGCAGCGGCAGAGAGGAAAATACCTATCCCAGGCATTGTTATTCTTCTGAAACGGCGCGACGTTGCCGTTTGACATTACGAGAGAACAAAAAGCGTCCAATTCGGATACGACCTCACGGCGCAACACCCACAGGCGTGAAAACAAACGTAAAACTATTGCGCCATCTAGCGCGAGACCAACAAACCATAGGTCGCCATTTTGTTAATCCGTTTTTAATTTCTTGATTTTGCGAAGTAATTTTCGTCAAGATAACTGTAATTATCAATTTGTAATTGTAAAGTAAGCTGACTTTTGTAATTGGGCGGACTACGTACATTCAATCTTCCAAATTTTTTGTTGTTATGTTGGTACACATGTCTTATGAAACAGAAGCGGGAATATTTTCTTACACAAGTTCGTTACATTTAGTTATCGGTATCGGCCTGTGTCGTGGTTCTGTTTGCGGGTCATAATCTTGTTAATCCATTTTGTCCCAGGGTGGCGTTAATTCTATGATTTTTTTTGTCACATCCAGGAAATATTTTTGCACATCCATTTAGAAATTTTATTATTATTACTTCTAAAGGACATATGACTGAATCATCCTCAAGGGCATGCAACCGTTATCTTTGACACAGAATTCATGTCAAGCATGTCTAGAGAATTCAAATTCAAATGCAAATATCCTCTATATATAAGCCAATATAATTAATTAATACTTTCCTGTAGGTTCAGACATAAATAAATAATAAGCTGTACCTATACTGTACGAAATTCGCTTCCTTGAGAAAAAAGATCACTTTGCTGACCGCTTCGAGTCGAATTGTTATTAAAGTTTGCTAGCAACTGTTTCGAAAAAAAAAAAAGAAAATCGATGGGGCTTGGTAAGAGTACGGAAACTTTTGGAGCAGCAGTTGCCAATCGGGTTTTGTAAAGAAGTCTCGCAAATAATGCAGCAGTAAAGAATATTTCTCGGAAATGCGAAAGCCCTTTAAACAAAGGAATCGGAATTATCAGGTGTGCAAACCTGGTGCATAGCGCGAACGCGCTTTCCGTTTCGTTTCGAGGAAATGCCAGTCAATATTTGAAGTAAATATTTAAATACGTTTTCGATTTAGTCGTTTCAATGGTCACGTCCTGAGCAACAGGGTGATTTTGAAAATTTCGCGCTTTGCGGCTAAATTTAAGATGACATAATTATGAGAAAGTTGTATATTTTAAATGGGGGCATCCTGTATGATAAGGGCTTTCCGAATATACAGGGTGTTTTGTGATTCAATGTTAGTTAAGAATGAAAAAAACGAATTAATTCACTGAAGCGTCATTTTTTCCTTTTTTGAATTTATTTAAAAGGAGGATCTAATTAGCAGTTTTTTAAACTAAATGATTATTAGGAAGAAGCGTATATAACATTTTATTGTTCCAAAAAGTTCCAAAAAGGCTGTTAAAAAGTAGTTATTAATGCAGACGACATGTTTCACCCTTCGGATGTTTTTAGTTTATAATAAGTGTAAATTGACCTAAAAAATGAACAAATCGACTCGACTAGTTCATTTGCTTGGTCAACCGCC